CTAATTATTACATCTCTTTATTTCATAAATATTCAATTTATATATGTTTATAAATATATATGTGTGTATTTATTTCATTATCTAACTAATTATGATATGGTATTAACCTAGATAATTCGAAATTCAACGTGGAAGGCAAAACTATTAAGGATCGAAACGGCAACTGAAAATAAGCAGCAAAATTAAATTGCTTTCCGTAACACGAAAACGAAGATTCTCCCTCCCTCTCTATCTATCGATTCTTCTCTCTCTCTCTCTCTCTCTCATATATATATATATATATATATATATATATATATATATATATATGTATAGTGACTGACAAAATTGATACAATTTTCTTCGAAAGAGACTGCTGTAAACAAATGAAGAAGCGATCGAATTATATACGCGTGTTTGTGTGTGAATGTGTGTGTGCGTATGTGTGTGTGTGTATACTTCTTTGACCAAAAAAACGAAATTAATCTGATTACCCTGGTTATTATTATTGAGTAACTTCCATCATTAACAGACATGTTCGTGGATATCCCAAACAACTCTCGGGGTGGGGGCAACAGGAAATAATTAGAATACAGAAATGATTATAGATGAATGAATGAATAGAATGATGAATAATAGATAGATTTGAAGAATTATATATATATATATATATATATATATATATATATATATATATATAGAGAGAGAGAGAGAGAGAGAGAGAGAGAGAGAGAGAGATGAATAGATAGATAGATAGATAGATAGATAGATAGATGAATAGATGAAGACAATTGAACATATAGATAGATAGATTGATAGATTTGAAGACAATTAGATAGATAGATAGATTTAAAAAGAATTATATATATATAGAGAGAGAGGGAAAGAGAGAGTCAGACAGACAGAGGCAGAGAGAGAGAGAGAGATATGAACAGACTTACATAGAGAGAGCGAGAGAGGGAGAAAACTGAACAGACATAAATAAATAAATAGATATCAAAAGAATGAGATAGATAGATAGATAGATAGATAGATAGATTGATTGATTGATTTAAAGAGAATTATATATATATATATATATATATATATATATATATAGAGAGAGAGAGAGAGAGAGAGAGAGAGAGGGAAAGACAAACAGACATAAAGAGAGATATATGAACAGGCTTACATAGAATGAGCGGGAGAGAAATATATCAGTATGTTTAGCTTGATAAACACACATACACACACACACACACACACAATTAATTATATATATATATATATATGTGTGTGTGTATGCGTGTGTGTATGTAGGTATAAGGTCAATGCATTCATATATGTTCAATATGCTGACAATGCACATTTGAAATTGAATCTCGATTTTCCGTAAATGATTTTGTGTTTTTTTAATGTCGAATATTTAATCTCTTCATTTTTCACTTGTCGTTAATTATGGAGAGTAATTAAAATATTTTTTAATGATACAACCTGTAAAATTTAGCCTAAATATAAAATGAACAAATACATGCATGCCCACAATAAGATTCATAATCAAAGACCCGCGCACAAATATGCTGACCCAAATAAACACACACACACACACACACACACACACACACACACACACACACACACACACACACACACACACATGCGTGTGTGCGTGTGTGAAGAGAGCTCGATATAGGGCTGATAGATAGATAGATAGATAGATAGATAGATAGATAGATAGATAGATAGATATACAAGTGAGAGTGCGGTATAAATTTACAAAATTGGTATTAATATAACAAAATTGATTTTGGAATTGGGTCGGGCTTTTCACCTCAAAATCATATACACGTGAAAACCGCCCACACAAGCATATGCACACATGCATACATACATACATACATATCTCTCTCCCTCCCTCCCTCCCCCCCTCCCTCTCTCTCTCTCTCTCTCTCTCTCTCTCTCTCAATATATATATATATATATATATATATTCGATGTCTACTAATTTTGGATAAGAAACTCTCTCGGATATATACATGTTTGAAATTAAATGCATGTATATAAATATTCAAATGATGATTCTCTGTAAAATTCCCTGTTTGTTTTTGTTCATCCTCTTCATCTCTGACATAATCTATCTCATTTTCTCACAGATATATATATATATATATATATATATATATATATATATATATATATATATATATCAGGATCAACGTGTTTGACCACTCATTATTTTTTTCAGCAGACATAGTTTGTTTCTCCAAACATTTTTAAGTTAATACGCGTACATCTAGTGGCCAAAATCGGTTGCGTCTACTCAATAAGGGTATCCACAAAAATAAAGTTAGGAATATACATATATATATATATATATATATATATATATATATATATATATATATATATATATATATGCATGTATGTATATGTGTGAGTGTGTGTGCAGGTGTGTGCACATAAAATGCTATCAAATATTGGTAAATTTGGACTTAATCAAAACAAAATCTTATGAAAAATAAAACATTGTTTTCTTTTACTTGTATTCCATTCTCTGATGATCTTGAAAAATAAAACCTGTGAGACTTATAAACGTTTCCTATTTCTTCGTCATCATATATATATATATATATATATATATATATATATATATATATATATATATATATATATATATATATATTAAATAATACAAGGAAAAAAAAAAGTACCTTTTTGTTTTTTCAGCGTAATATGTATTAAGTAAGTTTTGCTGCCTCAATACTCAACTATACATATACATATATAGATATATCAACCCTTTAATTTTGACTTATCTTCTTTTTCTTTCTATCTATCTATGTATATAAATATAAACATATATATATATATATATATATATATATATATATATATATATATATATATAGTTATATGGATTGAGTTTGTGACCCTGGATTTCACGCTTATTGCGATCATCAAAATAACTATATATTTTGCTCTATTACTGATATTGAGCACTTCCAATAAGTACTACACATATATAATATATATATATATATATATATATAGATACATACATACATACATATATATATATATATATATATATATATATATATTTATATATATATAATTGAATGTATGTGTGTATGTTTAATGTTGATACCGTTGTACAAGTTTAAACGTTTTGTCTACTCTTTGCAAAATTTATTTTCACATAGTTTTACTTATTTTCTAAGTGGATTTGTTCGATTATACGAAGTTTGTAAAATCGATTCTTTTTACCTTTTTTTTCATTAATTGCCAAAGAATTACACGTAAACTTTCAAGGTGATACATTTTATATGGACCAGTTTCTTTTTTAATTTAGAAGCTTATATCTGCATTCGTTCACATCTCGAATGTCATCGACAATTTTTTAAAAAAAGCAAACCAGGTAATCAATTAATCGACAGATTTTGCAAACTATTATTATTATTTCATTCCGTAATTTCTTGGCCTTCATACTTATAGATCTTAACAAATTCTAAATTCCTCGTGTCATACCACAATATCTTTTTTTCGATTCAAATATATTGATTTTTATTTCCTTTTCTTTTTAATCTGGAGAAATATTTTCTATACTATATGTCAATGTTTTTATTTTTTTTTTTATTTCTGTAAAGGTCAATGTATTTTCCTAAATTGATTGGAACTCCCAATTTTTATAGAATCAACATTTCCAGATCAGCTGAAGATTATTTAGCAATGGATAGAAATTACACTGAACACCTGTGACCGTATTAAATATATGCTTTTTACAAGTCAGCAAAACTTCTGCTCGCGTGTATGTGTCTTCCGTATTGTTACCTCTTCCATCTTCTTTTCCTTTTTTTCTCCTTTTTCCCGTATATATATATATATATATATATATATATATATATATATATATATATATATATATATACATATATACATATATATATATATATATATATATATATATATATATATATATATATATATATAAAAAAAGAGAGGCAACAATCTTTCTGTCATGCAAGCTTCATGAAATATCATTATGTGTCTATATTTCGGAGATGAGGTATTATGTACACTATTTACATTATTCGGACTATTGTCCTCATCTTCGTTGCCATATTTATTACAACGTTTCGGCCCATCAGTATCTGTCTATATTTATGAGATGAGGTATTATGTATACTATTTACATTATTCGGACTATTGTCCTCATCTTCGTTGCCATATTTATTACAACGTTTCGGCCCATCAGTATCTGTCTATATTTCTGAGATGAGGTATTATGTACACTATTTACATTATTCGGACTAATTTCCTCATCTTTGTTGCCATATTTATCACAACGTTTCGCCCCTTCAGTGTCTGTCTATATTTCTCAGATGAGGTATTATGTACACAATTTACATTATTAGGAATATTGGCCTCATGTTTGTTGCCATATTTATTACAACGTTTCGGCCTTTCAGTATCGGTCTATATTTCTGAGATGAGGTATTATGTACACTATTTACATTATTCGGACTATTGTCCTCATTATTGTTGCCATATTTATTACAACGTTTCGGCCCATCAGTATCTGTCTATATTTCGGAGATGAGGTATTATGTACACTATTTACATTATTCGGACTATTGTCCTCATCTTCGTTGCCATCTTTATTACAACGTTTCGGCCCATCAGTATCTGTCTATATTTCTGAGATGAGGTATTATGTACACTATTTACATTATTCGGACTAATTTCCTCATCTTTGTTGCCATATTTATCACAACGTTTCGCCCCTTCAGTGTCTGTCTATATTTCTCAGATGAGGTATTATGTACACTATTTACATTATTAGGACTATTGGCCTCATCTTTGTTGCCATATTTATTACAACGTTTCGGCCCATCAGTATCTGTCTATATTTCTGAGATGAGGTATTATGTACACTATTTACATTATTCGGACTAATTTCCTCATCTTTGTTGCCATATTTATCACAACGTTTCGCCCCTTCAGTGTCTGTCTATATTTCTGAGATGAGGTATTATGTACAC